AGCCTGAATAGAATCTAGATCCAAAAATTACTTCACAGAAAAAACAGGGGACAGAGAGACATGCTAGATGACACCCCAGAGATGCACTCAGGAAAATCCAGAGTGTGGAGAATGCTCTGGGGGAAATGAGCCAGCTTCTTCAACAAACAACCTGCAAGTGGGTGGGGTGGGGGAGAGAGAGGGAGAGAGGATCTATGGCTTAAAAGAGACTTGTGAGTCCAAAATGGACAAATGATCAATGTTCCAAGCAGCATTATTCATAATAGCTGAAACACAGAAACAATCCAAATGTCCCTTATCTGACGAATGGATAAACCAAAAGTGGTATGTCCACAAAATGGAATACTATCTAGCAATTAAAAAGAAATACACTATTGATACACACAATAACATGAATGAACTCAAAAATATTATTCTAAGTAAAAGAAGCCCAATGCAACAGGCTACATTTTGTATGATTCCATTGACATGAAATGTCCAGAAAAGGCAACTGATAGAGACAGAACAGCAGATCAGTGGTTGCCTCGAGCTGGAGGTGGGAGTGGAGATTAACTGCTAATGGGGAAGGAGGGAATTCTGGGGGTGATGGAACGGTTTTCTAAAACTGGACTGTGATGACTGTTGTACAACCCTACAAATTAACTCAGAATCACTGAATTGCACATTCGTCAAGGGTCAATTATTGTAGATCAATTATACCTTATTAAAGCTGTTAAAAGAGTCATCTTTTTTAGATCTATAGATAGTAACACCAACAGACGAAAGGGTAGGGTGTCTGGGAAGTGCTTCAGAAACAGCATGGTTGGCGGAGAGGTGGTTGGGATGCGGGTGTACCCCCCACTCCCTGCCAAAAAAACAACATGAGGGGGCACTGGATGAATGAAATGGCTGAGTCAATAACTGGAAGCTGGGTGATGGGTACGTGCGGGTTTATTATGCTGTTCAGTCTGATTTTGTCCATGTTTGAAACCTCCATCGTTAAACTTAAAAAAAACACATAGGCATAGTGACCCAAAGGAGGGAGGCTGAGAACCCTCAAACGCCACAATTATGTGCAAATATAGTTTAAATTTCGCTCTGAGGGGGCTTGTGAATGTTCTTCTTTAAAGATACCCACACAGAACTTCATCGGTCTGTCCAAGTTATACAGTGAGTGTGTTCTCACCTGGTGAGTAACGCATCACAGAGAGCTGTTCGTTCCCATCCGTGTGAACGGTGACCAAGTCTTTTGTTTCTGTGTCAAACACAAACCACCTGTTGTAAACAAGGGGAAAAGTCCAGTGAGGAAAGGGAGTAAGACTACTGTGATCACGGCAAGGTACAGAAACTGTTACTCTAACAGCTTAATGAAAAGTCTGCATTTGCTTAACAAGAATGCTTGCTCCCAGCTTTTATTTAAAGAAAATTTCCTACATACGAGCATTTCCTAAAGAAAGGAGCAGCATCTGGCGACCATGGGAAATGATTCAGTTACCGATGCTTCACCTAAGCAGCACTGGGCCAGCGTCTGACCTGCCGTGAATGCTGGCAGGCGACCAGCTGGGTGAAAGAAAGGACCCAGAGAAGAGCAGGAGGGTGAGCAGGGGACTGGTCTTGGAATTTAACCTCTTTGGGCTCAGCTTCCTCAACTGTAAAATGGGGATAAAGGCCCAGACTGACTTTGCAGGCCCAGCGACGAATCGGTCAAATTGTAACAGACACAGAAGTGCTCTGCGTCCTCGAACAAGGACACGTGCTCAGTCAGTGTCTGTTTACTGATGGAAAGGCTGTACTCTCCTGCCTGTGTGTTCTCAAGGGGTGGCAGCTAGTGGAACACTAGTGTTTTCAGGGATGAAAAGCAACGTGGGCTCCCTGCTGCTGCCGTTTCAAACCTTGATGACACACATCCCCAGGCACGTCCGCTGAGACAACACCCCTGTGTTCTCAGCTTCTACTTGGGGCCCTAGTCATCACCACTCAGTGGGCTGGCTGACCTTGAAATCTGGGTTTGGCTTCTCAGCTTTACTTTCCTGCATCTTCAGCAACCATTCACCTTTAACGTGCTGTTTAACCCCAACAGAGGTCAGAATATAAGAAGCAGAGAAACTGGGCGGAATGGGCTCTGACTTTGAAATGTCATATTAAACTGCTCCGTTAAGGCACCGGGACCAGAGATTGGGGGGGCTGCCGACGGAGAGGCAGGATTAGGTTACATGCGGTCTCTCTTCCCCCCACAGGACACTGTCTGTGACTCTGAGCATCTGGCATCGCCCCACAGCCCGTCCTGCCCAGCCTGTAGCTGATGGCACTTGCTGGCTGTCAGCCGTTCATCAGAGCCTGCTGAGTTGGAAGCTTCAGCTGTCTCTAAGAGAGGTAAAAGGAGTGTGTGTGTGTGTGTGTGTGTGAGCGTGCAAACATTTTCATGAAGAATTCTGCTGGATACAAGGTCCCCAACTCTTCAGACGTTGCCACCTGTGACTTACATATGATTACTCTTCCTTTATACGTACTCTGCACTCCGAACACCACGATCTAAGTGGTCGGCTTTTTTAAAGCTGCAGTATAGTTTAATTGCTGTGCAATATTATATAAGTTACAGGTGTACAATGTAGTGATCCACATTTTTTAAGGTTATGCTCCATTTATAGTTATTATAAAGTACTGGCTGTGTTCCCCGTGTGGTACAATACATCCATGTACCTTACTTTATACCTAATGGTCAGTCCCTCTTACCCCTACCCCTGTATTGTCCCTCCTCCCTGGCCTCTCCATAAGTGGCAAGCTTTTTAGAGGAAGTCACCAAGAGTATATGAATTAAGCTATAAGAAGTGTATAGACTATGACCAACGACATAAAAGTACAACTGAAACTTGTAAAAGAATGATAATGACAACCACGGAAATCGCCTGTCAGGCAAGCCCAGCAGGTGCTTCCTATCCCGAGTCCTTCAGTCATCAGTGCAACGGGGCTTCAAGGCAGACACACTGCCACCAGTGTGAGAAACAAACCCAGAGAGGTCACAGAACTGGCTCAAAGACGCACTATGGCTCAGTGGTGAAGCTGTGATTCAAACCCGGCAAATCGGGGGCGCTTGGCACGTAAGTACTGGCTGAGTCCACTAGGAGGCTCAGAATCAGGGCAGTTTCTAAAATTTTGGAAGGGAGGCAAGAAAAAGCACTCAAAAAGCTTCAGTGCTTTGAAAAGCTTTCTCACCCGATCCCAAAGCAGAGGCCCCTCTGCAGCCTCCTGGGGGGTGGGGGGCCCACAGTCCCCTGAATCTCAGGCAAACGTGTGTGTGTGGTGGGGGGCCTCTGGTGGGAGAGGGGGCCACAGCTTCCCTCGGCTTTCCCCGAGGTCCACAATGGGAAGGAAGGACCCCAGCCTCAGGGTTTACTTTCGAGTTTTGGCTTCCTTCTTGCTAAGTCATTAGAAGCTGACAGGTGCAGCCGAGAGCGACGCTGGGCCTGTCGCGGGGGAAGCACGGACAACCAGCCTCTTTCCCATGGCCTGAGCGAGCACAAGCCAGGCTGGTGGGCACTTACCTCCCAGTCAGTGTTCCAACTGCAACCACAGACCCTGAAGGATGAAAACCAGAAGACTGAGCTGGATCCTAAAACATTGTAAAGGAAGTGTAAATTGATGGCCAGACACAGCGCTGCTGCACACAACACACACGAGCACAGCCCTAGTCTCGCAGGACCACACGGCCCCATTAAAAAAACCCCTCTCTTCTCTCCAGAGAGGAAAGTGTTTTCCTACTTCGATGAAGGTCATGCCTCAATAATGCTAAATTGTTATCCTTTTATAATTTATCTCTTCCTGCCTTATGTCCTTCCACAGCCACTGTAATCAGATGAATTAGAGGACAGGTCAACAAAGACATGCTGTTCCTCCAAGCCTTGGGAGCCCCGCTGGTGGGCCCCCATTCCGAAAGGCGAGCTTGTGCCCCGTCTGTCTGGAAGTACAACCACCGCACCCAATTCCATCAGGTCGGTACTGGATGAGCGCCCCCCACTGGGTGCAAGACACAATGGCAGCCCCAGGCGGATCTTGGGATGTGTAAGGCACGTTCCACGTTTGGGATGGACGTGCTCGCTACTAACTCCGATACAAGATGGACACGACTGATGGAAGGAGGTAAAACAAGCCGGAGAGGGACGGTTAGGTGCAGTCGGGTGGGGAGGCTGGTGCTGGGAACCTGTGACTCGGGCCTCCTGATGCAGGGAGAATCACCAGCGGTGAAGGTGGAAGTGGACACACCAGTATTTTGGGGGATCAGGTGTTAAGGGGACAATGGTTTGATCACGGAGGTAAATGCAGTCCGGGGCCTATTTGAGGAATGGCAGGTGGAGTCCGTGGGTTTACAAGGCGGAACGTGCCAGGTGGGGAACTGGGGATGGCGCTAGAAAAGGGCGCTGCGTCGCCAAGTCCGGGATTGTGATCACTACAAGAAACACAGTGACACTGACTTCTTCCTTGCACTAAGAAGGGCGACATGACTGAGTGTGTTTTAGATACAAGATCACCTGGTAGGGAGCTTAGGATGAACTGAGTGAGAAGATTCATCACAGGAAGACCAAGAAAACAGCAGCATTGGCAACGGAAACAGGAGGGGGCACTGAGATACCACTGGGTGAGCTGACAAAGGAAGAGACGGGAGGGAAAGCCTTCTGAGACGCTGGTTACATCACTGCCATGCTTTTCCAAAGTGCGAGCTGTAATTAAGTGCAGGGACGCCACCGATGCACAGAGAGAAATCACGTGCACTTGAAGCTTTACTGTGTAATTCATCCGAGGCTCGTAACATTTCTGAGATGAAGATACTGAGGTATGAGGAGGGTAAGTGCTTCTGTCCAGTCATGTGGCCAGTGGGTAAAGGAGCTAGGACTTCACTGCAGATCCTTTTGGTGTCCGCTTTGGCGCTCCTGCCCTTGTGTTGGGCTGAGTGGGTTAATGGTCTGGTTATGGAGTAACTGGCTTTGCCTTCAGCCGGGCTGCTGTGTGGACCGAGGCTGCAGGGAAGGCTGCCCTCCTGGGTCAGCTCTGTGCCAACCCCTCACGTGTTCCCCACCCCATCTGTCCCTCTGAGCCCCAGCCAGGGGACAGGTGCAACGTAGGACATCACTTCCCGTAGCCCCGCCCTGCCACCTTGGGCCACTCGGTAATCTTTCCTCGGGCGTCAGTGTCATCCCCAGGCCCTGTCATCTTAGCGCCCAGCTCCACCAGTGGCCGGCCAGCTCCAGTCTCTTGCATACCTTCTGCAAAAGCGAAGGGCAGGAGGCCTGAAACATGGACCCAGCACATCGGGAAATGCTGGCAGCTCTGCGGGGGCTGAAAGGAGGACATGTGGGGTCTGCGGAGGGGCTACCCTCGGCCCAGGACTGTACATTTCAGCAAGGGTGCAGGCAACATGGGATGTGCTTTGGACTCACTACCAAAGACCCTGGGTGATGCACAGAAGACCCTGGGTTTGGGAGTCAGACTGAGCTGGGTGTAAACACTTGCTCCATCACGGACTCAGTGACCTTGGTGAACTATTTGACGTCTCTGAGCTTCAGTGCCCTAACTAATAAAAGCAGGGTAAAAACCTTCGACCTCAGGGGCTGCTGCAGGGATCAAGGATAACACGTGCATAGTGCTTGGAATGCGAACAACGCTCAGTAAATGCGCTGCTGCACGGTATGCAGGGAAAGGGTATTTCAGCACTTGATGTACAAACTGAGTTACTTTTGCAAAGGTCACTGAGTGAGATGCTGACTTTAAACTTCACCTTTACCATCAAACTCAAATTGCAAAGGTAAATTGTGGTATGCTTTAGAATAGCTTGTAAATTCTCACTTAAAAGGTACCCTATGAAGAGGATGAAGGCTTACAACCAGGCTTTAAGCCAGCGAAGAGACTGCACTCAGGAAACCCAGCAACCAGCCCCGAAAGACTAACTTAAAACACAATAGCAAACTTTAGAATTACACAGATGAGACCACTCAAGGCAATGTTTAAAGTGATGCAATTCGAAGGAGATAAATTAAGTGACAATCGCTTTGGGACAATTTTATATCACTATTAATTTCATGCAAAAAAAAATAAATCAATGTGTTCCAGATGAATTTTTATAGAAAGAGGGAATATAACGTGATGTCTACCTCTATTATTTTGTCCCAGACGGGCCGGTGACCAACAGCGTCCCAGAGGGTGGCATGCCTGTCATGCCCGCAGGTCAGGAACTGAGGTTTTGAGGCATGGATGGCCAGTCCCCAGAGCTCGTCCGTGTGCCCCTACAAAGAAGCCAGACAAACGGGAGCTCTGAAATACTGCAGGAGGCGTTCGGGAGCCCTGCGGGACTAGAACCCAGGCTCCCTGCACACTCTGTAACTGCCCCCGTCCACCCTCTTCCTCCCCAACTTCACTTGTGATACCAAGTCAGACTCTGAAGCCCAGGAAGGTCAAGAGCCTACGACACAGGAGAGGCCCACTCTCTGTAACGCTTTGTTGTATTCTAACGCCCCACGAAATGAAAGTGCTTGGTGGGCGGGCTGAGTGGGCACGCACCTGAGTGATGGGGGTGAAGTCCCCTGACAGTGTGCCCTGCAGAACAAAGTTTCTGGTGGTGCCTATCAAGATCACATCGCCTTTGCCCTCGGCCACGGTCCGTATGGGACCAAACTGTTCTGGAATCTGCATCGAGAAGAAAATATTTAAAATGTCATCAACTCGGGAAGAGGGAGGGGATAGCTCAGTGGTAGAGCATGTGCTTGGCAAGCACGAGGTCCCAGGTTCAATTCCCAGTTCCTCCACTGAGATAAATAAATAAAAACCCAATCACTCCCCCCAGTAAAATAAAACGTCATTAATTTATTAGCTCCATTATTCAAATACTTGTTTAGATATCACAATGATTGCTCCCATCGTAGTCACACTTAAAAGAATCAGCCAGAGTAAGGTTGTCAAAAAAACAAAGAATAAAGCATTTTTTAAGACAAAATAAGAAAATAAGAAATACTACTGGGTAGTTTATTCTTTACTTGTTTTGATTTCTGATAGCAGAAGCAGGTAAAATTTGGAAAGAACATGTACCATGCTGTAATAAGAGTTTCTAAAAATTCACTGTAACTTAAAAAGATAAATCCTTTGGCAACTTTATTCTATTCAGTTTTGAAATCCATTGCGTATGTTGGTAAATATATGGAATTATCTAAGTGTTCATAAAAATAATTTCAAAATACACCAGCCGAGAACAATTTGCTGTGACAAAATAAACAGAGGTCCTTGCACATTATAAAAAGGACAAAAACTGCAGCGAGACCCTGGGGTTGCCTGCAGGCCCTGCGGCTGCTGGACGGTAAGGAGCATCCTGTTCTCATATAAACGCTCCACCTCCAGTGTGGTCTGTTAGCACAGATTTGAGAAAAGCTGATGACAACTGATGCTAATGAAGAGGAACTATATACATACTTAGAAACAGTGAGTATCTTCTATAAAACTAGATGAGGCTTCAGAGTATTTGTTACAGTTATAATTCAATACAGGTACATGTTCAGTCAAATGCTGGTCAAATCTTGATATAAAAAATGCAACCCCAATTAACATTTCCATGAAAGGAAAGCCATTTCCGAAGCTCTGATGAAGGCCTTCGTTTATTAAGAGCAGTGACAGACATAACCAGATTCTCATTCTGCCAAAACACAGGGCCAAGCTGCTCTCTGATGTAACTGTGTTGTGTGCTTCTGACTAAGAAGCTGGAAAAGTCCTAGAAGGTGTCCATGCTACCCTACAGATGAAGACCCTCAGCCTTCATTGATGCCGACCTTGAGATCTGTCTGCTCACAATTTCCTGGAGCCTGGGGGAGAAAACTCAGTGTGTGTGTAGAAGGAACATTGAATTTCTTGTCTCTGGCTCCCATTGGAGTCCAGGGCTGCTAACCAGGTACTAAGGAGGCGAAAGATATACCAAAAGGAGCCAGAGCTCTAGGGAAGGTGTCAGCCATGTACAAAGTAGACACTTAATAAATACTAGCTCAAAGTGATAATGTCTCCAAAGTAACATGCTGTAAATTAAAGTGAAAAGAGAAAAAATATTTTAAGGATTAATCAAAATGTGGATAACATTCCCTTGGAAAAGTGAGACTGGTTCTATGATAAAGATATTCTAGATGGCAATGTTGCAATGTCACATTTTATAAACCGAATTCCATTTTAGTGGTCATACTTAAACCGCCCCCACGATTTTAATAAAATATGACCCTACTTAGTAAAATTTTATCTAAACAATTTTCAAAACTGTAAGCTAAAGACTTCAAACTAACAAGGAAACTGGTCAGTTTAACAGGTTAAGTCTCAAAACGCATGCCAACAGCACGACCTGCTGTCTTACCTCAGTTTTATGGAGTTTCTGATAGTTTCCATTCCAAGAAATGAGCTTTCGGTCCTTCCCTCCTCCCGACACCAGCGTGCCGTCCCTTAACATACAAAGTGCAAAAATACCACCCTCGTGGGCCCCTTGAACTGCATAGCTTATTCGATTCGTACCTAAACACACCAAGAAAACCATGCTTAGGACATCATCAAAAGGCTCACCTCTGGCCACCCCATGTCACTTTTGTTTTAAGATGTGATGCTGTCAGTTAGAATATCACTGTAGTGCGAATCTAGAAAGGATCCAAATCCTAGAAGTTCCCAGAGCATCAGACAAGCATGGACTGGATTCCTCCAGAGTTAAGGAAAACACGCTCACACAAAGCGCAGTGTACCACCTGTAGCTGAGAATGGGCCCCTCGAGCTGATGTCCTCGCGAGCTGTGTGTCTCTGGACAAGTGACTTAACTGCTCTGTGTCAGTTTCCCCCTCTGCATTACAGGGCTCCTGTTCATCCCACTGGATTGTTGTAAGGGTGAAATGAAAGGATGCGCAGAGCACGAGGCACCTGCAGCAGTAGGGATACTGCAGCGGTCGCCGTGTTAGTCTGAAATTACACTGACGGGTCTGTTTCTGCCTTCACCCCCACCCAACCTCAAGATCCTTGAGGACAGGGACGGTGCATTTCCCCTTTTTTCCTGGCTCGTGGTTAGCACTCATAAATGCTCACTGAACTTGATGGAATGCATGTCTCTGAGTCACGAGTCCTCCTTACCACACTGTCTGCCCACTGACAGCGGGGGATTCAGACCTGCCTCATCTTACGCAGTGTCCAGCAGGCTGCCATTGATACAGTCAGAAATCAACCTCGTCTGCCAAGCGCTACGTGAACCAGAAAAGTGAAATACTCCAGAGCTAACTAAACCGTCACGGACAACTTCAGCATTACAGGCTGTTATCAGATCTCCTAACAAAGCTATTCATTCCTTTATAATGTCTTGGGCTTAAAATGCCTTTTAGAGTGACTGACATCAACAGCCAACTAGTCTTGTTTCCCTCTTGTCCCAGGTCACACACGCACACATGCATGTATGTACCCATGTAACCTGGAATCTAAAGTAGTGAGCCTGAGAATAACATTAACAGACAGTCCTTACGGAAGCCACATTTGGCTTCTTACTTACAGCATCACCAAAAATGTCTTTTTTGGGAGCAATCACTTGTTACCTTTTCCCCATACGAGGATGTTGCCACTTGAATCTCCAGTGATGGTGTCACCATTTTCAGAAAAGGTCACACAGAGGACAAACTTTGGCTTTTCTTGCTTCTGCAGAATGTTTAAATTAAGAATATACAAATGGTATATATATTATTAATACAAATAAAAGGATGTCTTGATTAAATGTGTTAAACATCCAGGATCGCAGTCACCCCAAGCGGGACAGGGTCATCTTCTGCCGCTGCACCGTGTACCTTCCATTCTCATCCACCGTTACATAACTTATGCCCTGAGATTGTATCTAAGACAAAGAGATTTCTGATACTTAAAAGGTTGCAGACAGTTTGAGCAGAGGAGGGTGTTGGAGGGGCTCAGGGGCTGTGTTGTCATGACTACGGTCTGAAGGTCCTGGCGCCAGGATAAAGCAGTCCTGACACTCAGCCTCTGGGCCGTGGCGGCAAAAGGCCCCACAGGGCAGCAGGTGTCACCCGCAGCTCTCACAAGGTCCCCAGATGGTGAGACTAAACAGCACAGAGAGTGTCCATCACTCCCTGCAAAGTCTCACTGTGGTCTCCTGGGCAACCAGCATGCCACCGCCATAGTGGCCCTGGCCAATGGGCATCCTCTCCTGGCACTTCTCCCTGTGTTGGTCCTTCCACCTCAGCATCACTAGTGTTATCTGCGAGACACAAGGGGCTCCCCAATCCCGCCAGGGATCTCCAGGAATAGTCTTTATCACTACACCCCCACGTTTGCAAATTAAAACAAATTCTAAGACTGGGAAGCCTCAAAGCTTCCTTAAAAGCTGGGCGATTACAAGTACCATCGGTGAAAAATAAAACAGCCAGTGCAATTTAACCATACCTCGAATAATCCCTGCTTCTTAATAAGGGAGCTTCCTTCTAGCGTCCAAAAATAGAGGTGCGATTTCCCACAGGTAACGATTATATTGGTGTCCGTGGGGTGGAAATCCGCAGCAAACACAGCTTCATTGGAACACTTTGAGCAAAAATAGGAGAACCAAATGTCTCAACTTTGTTAAGATACTTAAGAAAATAAACAGAATCTGAACCACAAATAAATAACTCATCAAGGTAAGCATGAGGCCTCTTGATATTTCCCCCCATGGATTCATGTTCTGTGAACACGAAGCTTGTGCCCACACTTCTCCCCCTCATCTGTCTCCCCTACCGCTCTGGGTCCCGAGGACAGGACCACGGAGCCTCCCTTTGGTGCGGGGCTCTCCCAGGACCTGGTGCAGGGCAGGCACGTGGGGTGCTCTGGCTTAAAGGAGCGGCTGGGGGCTTCAGAACCTCAGGCCTCACTATACATAAAAATAGGAAAACAACAAATTTCTTCTGTACAGCACAGGGAGCTGTATCCAATATCTTGTAATAACCTTTAATGAAAAAGAATATGAAAATGAACGTATGTATGTGTATGCATGACTGGGACATTATGCTGTACACCAGAAATGGACGAACTGTAGCTGACTGTACTTCAATTTAAAAAAACAAAAACCTCAGGCCTCATCCCCATCTAGTGACTGACTGGAAGGGCCCTGGAGTCTGGATTTTATACAGCTCCATCACTCGGGCCAGCTTTGGCTGCCCTGCCTGCCCTGGGAGTCCCTCCTGGTTTTAATCCCCAAGACTCTGCCGGTGGTTCAGTGACCAAGACCGCGTCCAGCAGGGGCTGTGGTTCTCTGGGTTCACCACCCTCACCCTGTTCTCTTCACTTCCAGGACTTCACCCTGGGCTGATAAATCTGACTCTGCTTGCTCCTTCTGCTCGATAATTGCACCAGGAATAACTTGCTCTGATTACTTCCAATCTAGTGACACAGCAAGAACTTAGCACCTGAGCAGAACATTAGAAGGCACAGCTACAGCACGAGTATAGGTGTCTTCGTGCCTGACTACAGCACAGGAACCCCCCACCCCAGAAGACGGAAAGCTATGTAAGTCAGGTGCTGCAATGGTGGTCCCAATGCTAGGTCAGCAGGGTGATCCAATGGTCATCCCAGTGTTAGGACAATAAGGTGATCCAAGGTAAACAGAGGCCAGGATGAGAAATCTGAAGTCAATCCTACAAACGTAGCTCCGATCCTGGTTTTAGCAGGAGGAAAGCAGAAGGAAACTCAAGGGAAGTTCATCAACGTGTCGGCAAGTCCTTTCGAACTGGCATTTTTTCTGGATATAAGCCCACGAGTGGGGTTGCTGGGTCATAGGGTGAGTCTGTTTTTAGTCTTTTGAGGAATCTCCACACTGTCTTCCATAACGGCTGCACCAAACTGCATCCCCACCAGCCGTGTAGGAGGGTCCCCTTCTCCACACCCTCTCCAGCATTTATCGTTTGTGGACTTTTGAATGGTGGCCATTCTGACTGGTGTGAGGTGGTACCTCATTGTGGTTGATTCGTGTTTCTCTCATGATCAGTGCTATCGAGCATCTTCTCATGTGCCGATTGGCCTTCTGGATGTCCTCACTGGAGAATAGCCTGTTTAGGTCTTCTGCTCAGTTTTGATTGGGTTGTTTGTTTTTTCGTTGAGTTGTGTGAGCTGTTTGTGTATTCTGGAAGTTAAGCCCTTGTCAGTTGCACTGTTTGCAAATATTTTCTCCCATTCCGTAGGGTGTCGTTTTGTTGATGGTTTCCTTTGCTGTGCAAAAGCTCATAAGTTTAATTAGGTCCCATTTGTTTATTTTTGCTTTTACTTCTATTGCGTTGGTAGACTGACCTAAGAAAACATTGCTACGAATATATATATATATATATGTACATACATACACACATATATACACACGACTGAATCACTACGTTATACACCTGAAACTAACACAACGTTGTAAATTAACTACACTTCAATTAAAAAAAAACTGTTGGGAGTTCCTATGGGCACCACTGCAGGAAGAGCCCCACTGGGAGGACCGGGAACTTCCCAAGCCCACTCAGCCCGGGACGGCCCTGCGCTGACCTCTCCTGCCCCTCCCCCTCAGCCTGCTCCCTGCCCGGCCTTCCCACTGGGCAGCGGCCACATTTCACTCGTCTCCACACCTCCACTGCCTCCTCGGCAGTGCGGTGCACAGGGGACACCTGGCATTTGTGGATGACAGAAAGAAAGCAAACAAATGGACGATGGAATGAATTAAAAGGGCCGTGGAGGTGAAATGAGGAAGAAAACCTTAGAGACACTGAGACGAGAAGGAGGAATCCTGTAGGGACTTGGGAAGAGGGGAGGGGGTGGGGGCCTGGGGGCTTCTCCGTGATGGAGTCCTGCCTGAAAGCCAGGGTGGGAACAGAGCCCACCACCCGGGAGCCGGAGAAGGTTCCATGTGGGAAAGCGACAAGGCAGCCTGACATCAGGCTTGGAGAGAGACCTTGACGTCCGCCAGCCTCTCCTCCTTCTGCCAGTCCCACACGGACAGCACGTGGTCGTTGGAGTCATCCACAGCACAGAGGTTGCTGCCTCCATTCTGGAAAAAAAAAAAGTATTCACAGCAACACTGCATTTGAGAATAAAATAGGTGGAGCATGATTAAAAATGAACATCACTTTTAACATCGAGTCTGTGACATTTTCATTAAAGAATATTTACTCACTCCTTTTGAGACCTGCTTGGGCAGACAGACGGGGGAAGCAGGTGCACGTGGGGTGACGAAGGGACAGGGGAGGAGGGAAGGGTCGGGGGCTCTTCACCACTGGTTCCATTAAAACCAGCTTCCCCAGGACTGCAGAGCGCTTGCCCTGGAGGAGACACTGTGCCGCTCGCAGGGCACAGGTCTGCAGTGAGCGTGGACAGGGTTACGGAGAGGTCGTGCAAGGAGAGAA